AATTTTTGGCACAAGCAATCCTCCAGCTGCAGCCCCGAATAGGTTGGACACAGGACATGTCACCTAACCCAATTTTTACTATTTAGTAGGATGGGTCATCGCTCTGCTCGGCTGTTCTCGCCACACCTGCCTCAAAGTGAATCCTCCATGCTTTGCCTCCAGAGCTAGCCAACGAGGGAACCACATTCCCAGTCTGAAATACATTCTTTAAGCATACAATATGATAATTTTGTAAAACTCTTATATGAATATTAATTATAAAATCTGTTTTTTTTTCTTTTAAGACAGGTCCACTCCATTGACCTGCAGTAAGTGCAAGTGACTCATAGCTCATAGCAACTCAAACTCCTGGTCAAGCGTCCTCCTGTCTCACCTCTCAAATAGCTGAATACAGATGTGTGCACTACACCTGGCTAAATTTTTCTATTTTGGTAGAGGACGAGGTCTCACTTTGCTGAGCTGGCCCGGACAACTCCTGACCAGGCACATCTCCGCTTTCCACCTCCCCAGCGTAGGATTACGAGCATGGACCATCATGCCCCACCCATTAAAATACTTTATAAGACATTCATACGATTAAAATATTGAATGCTGCCAGAACATGTATAAACTTCCTTTTTATGACACTATAATTTCGTGTGATCTTTTGATTCCGAATATCAAAATTAGTCGACAGTCATACCCCCCTGAACATGCCTGATGTCGCTGAAATATCAAAATTTAAATGAAAATTTTTTCATTTGTGCCTTGAGGAAGATGTTTAAAGCGATGAATTCTCCAATGCTTTCATCCTATTTCCTTTTGAAAAGTATCTTTACTTCTGCAATCAGATTCCTCTACATAGTTATTTTTTATATAGTCCTCCTATTTTCTAGCTAAAGAATTCATAAATTATGAGAAACAAAAAGTAATTATATTACTACCCTATAATAAAAGAAAGGCTATACAACTACATGAGAATAGTATATGACATTTTATAGAAGAATAGGTCATTAGTCACCAGTCTGACTCTAGGTACGACTATGATAGACACATGACTAATAGTGATCGCAGATAAACACGCACGGAGCATCTCGCGTAGATACTCTCAAAAACAAAACACAAGAGACTTTGTTTTTCCATTATTGCCTTTCATATAGAGAGCCTACTATGTATATTCTTCTGCTTCTCACAATTATTAGCAATCCATAGACTGACGCAAACAATAGCTAGCCCAGCAACACTCCATTCGTTCCTATCTCATATCCAATTATTCGAGAATGTGTAAAAGTCTCCACAGATGGGATAAATTACTAAGTTCTAAGTGTGCCAATATTTTCAGCTAAATGTAGTTGCTCAGAGCCGCAATCATTATCAATTACTTGTTCATTACACCAGAACAACCGAAATTTATAGAGAAAGTCTCGAACTCACATTACTCATCTAAGACATAGAGGAATCTGCTTTTTCGTAGACTTTAATTAGACATACTCAAAACATGAAAGAATACAATCATATTCGCAACACGATAGGGCATCAAAATAGTTATGCTAGAGAAACTAATATATTATGTAAGAGAGCAAATCTCACGAATTAGTTAGCAATCGAGCGAGCTTCCTAGCATGATGCTAATCGGCACTGACTGATGAGATAATACTTCTCTGTGGTTAGATTACAATGATAATGCCCCATCTCTACTTATGCAGACAGGTGCATACTTCATCATCTATATCCATGTGGTCACACTGTACATAGATTAATCACTGTATTGGAAGGCCTGGATGTCGTTATGAAACACCAAGCAATAATGACTTCCAATATGATACAGAGAGTTAATATATGGCTTTTTAAACTCAAATCCAAATTCAGCACATTGATCAGTCAATCTCAGGAAACATTTCTCACTATCTTCTGGAATCTGATAACACGATGCCAAGTTAGGATTAATCTTTTTTACAAGGTGCTATAGTAATCTAGAAAACTTCAAACTATCTAATCTTTAAACAAAATTATTACTATTTTTCGTTCAGTTCTATGCGTTTTTTCTATCTCTTTAATAGCGATCACAAGTTGCCATTAAATTTAAGGCTGCAGTGAGCTATGATGACACCACTATACTCTACCCAGGGTGACAGAGTGAGAACAAACATCTTTGTGCCGATATCTTTGAGTACTTGTGCGTGATGTTTGTAGGATAAATTCTAGAGATAGAGTCGTAAGGATAAAATATATGAGTAATTAAAATATTTGAGGGACATTGTCCAATTGTTTCAATAAAGGTTGCATGAGGTCATATCTCTACATATGGAAGTTCTTATTTCCGTACATATCCAGTGGCACTCAGTCTTTCTGATCTTTGCTAAATGTATGGGCAAAATATGTAATCTTGTTTTAATTTTTATTTCTTTGATTATTAGTGAAGCTGCATAACTTCATATGTGTTGCCATTCGCATGTTTTCTCTGAATTGCCTGTTCATGTTACATATTCTGTGGTTTGATTATTATTAATCTGAAGGAGTTCTTTATAGATTGTAGATCAAGGCTATTCACCTAGCGTGACTTTCACACATGAAAACATTCTGTTAGTTTTAGGAGATAGGAATTTAACTTTGAATATGGTTTGTTTCATGGTAGGATTCTGAAAAGGGTAATATTATTTTCATAAAAAATATAATTATTTCCTAATTATATCAGAACTTTGCTCCAGCATTTGCTAAATTATGGTCCAGATAGATTTTAATAATTATTGGTAAGAAAATAATTAGTAAAATTATTTTTAAAATTATTGGTAAATTATTGTGGAAGATTTAGCATGCTTATTAGTATATTAAAAGGTCTGAGAAGTTTTATAGTAAAGAAACTGATTTGCTTTTAATTAATATCATTATAATACACCATGGGCTCTTTTTCTTTTCTTTTTTGACATATTACTTGTCAAAAATGAGAGCTAATATTTAGTGAATGTCCTTTAGTGCCAGGCACTGTATTCAGATGCTTTATATGTCATCTTTAATTCTCAAAGCATCTCTGAGATAGCAGTACTATTATTATTCTCATTCCATGCAGGAAGAAACATATCCTATGAAAATACAGGCAGGCCTCGCTTTGTACAGTTCTGATATGCGTGAATTTCATTTACCACAGTTTAGTTAAATAACACCTGTTCCCCCAACACCA